AACTTATGGCATGTTATACGCCAATCTGAAAAACGATGCCTCATTTCCGTCTTTTTATGATCAAAGCACCTTGATCACTTGAAATATGTATGTATATTTTTGACAACACACACACACAACGAGAAACGGCATCTTATAAAATATTATACAGTTTTTTCCACCATTTTTGGCGAGTCACAGTAAAACTACCGGTATCAACTCATACATTCATCTTTAGCACATAGGGATTCACGACTTGTCTTGAAATCAAGTCAAGTTCAAGTCAAGTATTAGCTATTAGCAATGTAAATTAAGTCAAGTAGTTTTACGCCAAGGACTAGAAAGCTCAGTAGTTTAATATTACTTGATAATTTTTGTAATATAAATTCGAGTGGATTATAAATACAGAACGATAAGATTTTGTTACAGAAAAAGCAATACTAATTGTACAAAATAATTTGTTCATTGTATAACAAATAAAGAACGATAACTGTAATCTCGAATAGAAAAAAGCATTTCTTTCATCAGCTGTTGCACAAAATGAAAAATTCTCAGTTAGCTTTCCATTCGTCAACCACGAGTTAAGACGCGTGGGGGGTCCTAATGGATGTATCGGTTTAATCTGTTACGGAGTTACGGGGTTCCGTAATGGTCATGCAGCCATACAAAATTTCCAGGTGTCGATAAAAAATCTCATGCCATTTACTCTAGATTTAGGGATGCATTTCCATGTCTTTTACGGCCCATCCGGAACAAATAAATATCATTGAAGGTCTTTAGTAGAACAAACAAATTTTCCATCAAGTAACAAGTAGTTTGAATATGCTTTACCTCAATCAAGTCAAGTCAAGTATTAACGTTTCAAGTAATTTTATTGTCAAGTAGTTTATAAAAATATTAAGATGCTTGACTTGCTGAATCCCTACTATATACTGTACATATGCAGATAGCGCGAACGTATGTTAGTATAAACTCACAGACATACGTTGTTTAGTTTCATCTCTCCTCCTCGAAAAGTGCCCATTTTGCATGGGCGTGCGATTTGAGTTTACCTCTTTTGATCTTCGTAGTACAAAACATAGCAATACCTCAATTACAACTCGTGGATAATATCGACAGTCTTTACTGAAGGCTATTATAGGTGAAACTACATATGGAAAAATGCCCACAAAGCCATCTAAATTTTCAGATCTATAGTCACCCCTAGGGCCCCCTAAAATCAAAACGTTTTTTTCGAAAATTTTTCTAACATTTGTGAAGCATATAGTTTCGAGAAAAACAGGTTTTGAAACATTTTTTCGAATATAGAGATAGGAACTTAAATTCGCAAACGTAAAAATCCATTATTTATCAGAGTTTACTTGTCAGATCCACTAACAGAATCGTGAATTTTTAACTGGAAAATCGCCCAAAAATCGGAAAAACCGCATTTGCACCGAACTTAAAAACGCAACGTACATATGTTTTTGTTCATATTTCAAATTCCGCGATCAATATTTTAATTTGTCTTCGAAAATTTCGAAAATTCGAAAATGAATGATGAAAACCGTATTTTGTGATTTTCCTTCAGTTTTTAACGTTTTTGGTCAGGAAAGGAATACTTTTTTAGTTTCAATATAATTATTTCTTGTCCGAAAAATCGACAAAACCGAATACAATATCTTCGTTAACTCGAAAGCTTAATCCACGCATATATGTATATAGTAGGTTTCTGAGTTAACCAGTCATCCCTTAACTGATCTAAATGTCAAACATTGAAGAAATCGGCGAAAATATGTTTTATTCTTTTTCATAATCTTGCCGGACCACAATTTATACAATGGAACCTAGAAGAATGCACAAAAATACGTGCGCACATTGGGTTCTTGAGCCAGCCAATTCATAATATCCTACTCTATGAATCTCAAAAATTAAGAAAAAACCGGTAAACATGCGGTTTTCCGCATTTTTCGTTATGTGTTATCCAAGTATTTATTCTAGACCTTAAACATAAAAAATTTAAGAAAGTCAGCTAAAATGCGGTTTTCCCCATTTCCGCAATTTTTCTTCGCAACAAATTATAATTTGGCAATGAAGATTGAAATAATGGGCTAAAATGCATACGTGCATTGAGTTTTTTAGTTAACGTACTTATGACATCCTATTCTAAAAAGTATGAAATTGAAAAAATCGGTAAAAATGTGACTTTCCAAGTTGTAGTACCCAACTCTAAAAATATCTGAAGTTGGAGAAAATAAAAGAAAATGCGTTTTTTTCTTAATTTCGCAATTTCAAACAAATCAAAATTTCGAATAATAAAGAATGGCCAAAGATTCATACTCATTGAGTTTTAAAGTTGGCTAACTTGTGATATCCTACGTTTAATGTATTAAAAATAGGATAAAATCGGTGAAAACGCGATTATTCCGATTTTTCGCGAATTTCCGGTACGCAAGCAAGTACTGGAGTTTTTAGACTTACAAAATTCTAATTAACTAACCAAGAATTCGAAAAAAGAATCAAAATATGTTTTTCCGGAATTTGTAGTTCTACAAATCTATAAAACAAAATCACGGTTATGTAGGTGTAGTAGAATCGGTAATTTCTTTCAAAATTTTTTGACCAAAGTTGCGCGCGGGAAAATTGTTTCGAAAAAAAAATCACGGATATAACAGCATAGCATCGGTAATTTCTCTCAACATTTTTTGGCCAAAATTGCGCGCGTGAAGAATTATTTCTTATTTTTGGGCAATTCTCATAGTTTCGTCTATAGCCTTTATTGGAGCATTTTTAAAAGTGAACGGAAGAACAGCTAGTGCTGAAAATCGGTTCGCGTAGTGTGCAATTTTCCCTAAGAGGTTAAGATTCACGCAGACAAGTTAATCGATATGTTTCCTTGTTCGTATTACACAGGGTGCGGCAGAGAGGACGGACGTTTTTGGGATGGGTAGTACTCTCCGCCTCCGTCTACGAGAGAGGTGGGGAGGGTGCCGTTTGACTCGTGAGATCCTAGCATTATTTTACCAGTTGTCGTTATGGAGCCTTGGACGGTGGAGCACCGCGTTTTCGCCTATGAGTGACGAAGCCCACTTTCACCTAAACAGCATGGTTAACCAGCAGAATTGTCGTTATTGGGCTAATGAAAATCCGCAACAGTTACACAAAAGACCGCTGCACAGCCCAAAAGTAACGGATTGGTGCGCTGTATCGCAAACTTGCATCATTGGCCCTTACTTCTTCGAAGACGGTAATGGTCGTGATGTTACCGTGAACTCAGAGCGCTACGTCGATATGATCACCAACTTCTTTCTCCCTGAATTACGACGGCGACGTGTTCCAATCCGACGTGTGTGGTTCCAGCAGGATGGGGCGACCGCCCACACAGCCCGAGCATCCATGGACGTTATTCGCCCTCTCTTCCCTGGTCGCCTTATTTCCAGGTTTGGCGATGATCATTGGCCTCCTCGCTCAACAGATTTATCCATATACGATTTTTTCTTATGGGGGCATCTCAAGGATAGAGTATACGCGAACAAGCCCCAAACTCTGGACGAATTGAAGGGCGAAATTCGCGTGGAAGTCGCCCAAGTTGAGAGAGCGATGTTGGAGAGCGTCTACGCGAACTTCCAAGAACGCCTCCAGCACTGCATCAACGATTTCGACCACCACATGCCTGATGTGATTTTCCACACTTGACTGTCTCAAATGCTATTTCCTTGTGAACCTGATTCCATCAATAAATGTGTTTTCGAGTAAAAATTAACTATTTTATGATTTTTTTTAAAACCGTCCATCCTCTCTGCCGCACCCTGTATTTATGGCGTAGCCACCAAAAAAAAAAGCATATGTATTTATGTAGGGTAAGTTAGTACATTTCAAGAATGAACTGTTAATGGACGATATGAGGTTACAGAGCTATACATTGATAGAACAACATAAAAATGGTGTCAAGAAGATTGAGTCAACATTTACTTCGCATTCATAGATATCTATTTTTAAATTTTCCATAAATAGAACTTCTGAGGCCTAAAATGAACATGAACTCAAGAATGGTGAAAATACAACAACACACCGACACACTGAGTGATGGAAATCAGTCACATAGTTTCGTAATTAGTATGTACCATATTAAATCCGAAAAATTGATTTATTGAATATTGACATTTTCCACTAATTACAATATTCCTCGCGTATACAAAGTACAATTATGAATACTACAACAAGCCGAAGTATGGTTGTGTTTCTTACCGGTGCCATAATCGTGAGTGAATCTTGCTATCAATATGTAAACAACTATATTCCTTGGATTAAATGAAAAATTAAATTCCACTGCTATCTAGTTATCGCCTCTCTCATTTTATGAAGCATGTGACTACTAGAAATAATATCCATGACACAATGAAAATTAGAGCGACCTCGTAGATTTCTATAGTGCAGGAATTTTCCTTACATCTGCTGTTATCTAACATGGGTCATTTAATGGTGCGTACTGTACTAGCTACTACCTTTCGAAGGCTTATTCGTCAAGACCAAGCCTTTACGAGTCGGATTCTCATTTACAAAATGCATAGTTGTAATGCCTCGCTTTTGTAAGGCATTTCAACAAAAGATACATCAAAATGTCAATAATTTTTCGAAAAATAGTTTTTTATCGCACAAGAGCCTACGCAAGCAGTATTATTAAAATGTTTAATGTTCCTTGTAACATGATATTAGAAACACTTGCTCACAATAAAGAACTATCATGTGATTTGTACGGTGCAGTTTTATAAAGAAATCGAACGAATCTACACACTTTGTAATGATTGCTCTGTATATCAGGCCAGGCATGTACTGTTTGCTAGAAATTATGCCCGAAAAACACAAACATTGAAAATATTTAATACAGACGACTTAGATTGTTAGTTATTATCGTTTAAAGCTTACGCGTCTAATATTAACGATTTTTCCACTAATAAACATTGTTGTGTCAAAGTAAACGAATCATATTTCCTCTGTGATTTCCAGGCATAGCTGTAGGTGGTGGTTACACCCTTCTACCGATGTACATTGCCGAAGTATCCGAGGCAGCCAACAGAGGTGCCTACTCTTCAACTCTGGGAATATTTTGGGCTTTCGGGAACTTCATTCCTAACGCTATAGGACCGTTTATGTCTGTGATGTGGTTCAATTTGCTGCTCACTTGCTTCCCGGTAGCTTTCTTCATTACGTTCTACTTTTTGGGGAAGGAGACACCATATTTCCTTGTTGGAGCTAACAAGATCGATGAAGCCGAAGAAGTATGTATTGTTCATTAGGAATGGGCATTTATATGTTTAAAAAATTGAGTTTAATTACTTTTTCTGATATTACTGAAGTTGATATTTGCGTTTTCGATCTCACTTGATGGGTCGTTATGAAAATCTCAGATAGTCAGATCCAGAAGCCCGTTAATATAACATCTAAAACTTACCCTGTGGTTTACATGTCGATAATCCGCCATGCTTCTTTGGTCAATAAAACAACCTGTATTGACAGATATTCATTACTACAGTATTGACGGAAGAAGACATGTCTACAAATATTCAGAAACTGATTAACTCTGCTCTATTTAGAGTATAGGGTCTATCGAAATAAAACAGCACAAAGTGCCATCTAATACCAAAATCGACCAGTACGAAAATGGAAACAGCAAGCTGTCCGTTGGAACTGTTGCCGATTAGCACGAAACATGGTTGACCGTCTGTGGTCGGACGAATGAAAGCAGTATTACTAGTTTGTTCAATGGCCAGTAGACCCTGCTTACTGAAAAACCAGAATTGGCGGCATCTAACGGCGACAGTAGTGACCTGGCTGACAATGCTAACAGGTATTCTGTTCCAATCATACAGCTTGCTGTTTTCATTTTCGCAGTGGTCGATTCTGGTAAGTTTGTGCGGCCTTATTATTTTGTGTGTTCTATATGCATACGAGAGATTGACATGTTTTTATGGAACAACCTGTAAACATCTGAGAGAGTAACCACTCATTCTGGGACAAGCTATACTTCGGTCACATGATATGTGGAAAATCTACCAGAAGTGGTTTTCCCCAGTTCTTAGAGACCTTAACCAGCTCAAAATTATGTCGATATAATATCTTTATATTATTTATCTATCAATAATATGTTTCCGGATTTTGAATAGTCAGGCTTTATCTTTGCGACTGCTTCAAGATAAAATAAACATTTCCAGTGAAGTGTTTTATAGTAAGTTGAATCATTTCCAGGTACTGATGAAATTGAGGTGCCTCGACAACAAAGGTGTAGAGATCGAGCTCAATCAAATAAAGACCAATCTAAAGAGGGAAGAATCTGGCAGCTACTCCGACATCCTCAAGAATGCAGGACTTCGGAAGGCATTCGTCATATCCCTTATCCTCATGGCTCTACAACAACTCTGTGGAATGAACGCTGTCAATTACTACCTCCAAACCATTCTTCAAGAGTCTGGCAGTAACTGC